TGTTTGAGTTCTTTATGTTTTCTGGATATTAAACCTTTTTCAGATGCATAATTTGCAAATATTTTCTCCCATACCGCAGGTTGTCTTTTCTCTATTGATAGTTTCCTTTGCTGTGCAGAAGCTTTTTGGTTCTATATAATCCCATTTGTTAATTTTTGATTTTGTTTTCTATTCTTCTGAAGTATCATTCGTAAAAGGTTTGTCCAGACCTATGTCTTGAGGGGTTTCCCCTGTGATTTCTTCTAGAAGTTTTATAGTTCTGGTCTGTATTTAAGTCTTTAATCCATTTTGAGTTGATTTTGGTATATAGTGAGAGATAGGGATCTAGTTTTACTCTTCTGTTATGTTGTGTGATTTTTGTTCCTATACTTATAACATGAGAACTTTTGACTAGGAATAAAAATTAATCATTAACTGCTTATTTAGTCTTTTATTAAAAAATATATTTTGAATGGCAGCTGTATTCCAGTTGCTGTGCTAGAGATATGATGAACAAAACCACTCTCTGTCTCTGCCCTCAATTCTGCATGAAGCTTATGGTTAAAGGAGAACTCAGACATTGACTAAATAGTAGAATAAGAAGGTCCTGGGAGAGAATATTACAAGCCAGTGCACTGCTTCCGAGAATGGGTTACTAAAGTACAGGCCTGGAGGGTTAATGGGAGAAAGATGCTGGTTGCTTATTTTCTCATACTTTTCTTGGGACCCCACCAACAGGCACATTTTTGTGTTNCTCATCTTTGGCACCTTTTCTAGAAATGTGAATTCAGACCAACCATATTAGTAAAATATGCAAAAGCTAACGGAGAATGAGGAAGAGTAAATTGGGAGAACACCTGTGGGACAATTTAGTTCAAGAAACTAAATAAAGGGCTAAATGCTTGAGAGTAAACAAAAGTCCAGGGAATAAATACATTTTGAAAAAGCCCTGGAATTCAAAGAGGTTAGAGATCTGGGTGACTGAGACAGAGTAGCTTTATTTTGAGGATGGAAGCATGCACCTGTGATTCAGACGTAAAAGAAATCCGTTTATTCAGGGAATAGACTCCTTTTTTTCTCTTGTGGCTGATGTGAGTAGCAAGTTATTTATTATGTCTGAAATTTCCTTGTAAAATAAATAATATTAAATGCTTATGTAGTAATATGATTTTTATAATTGTTCTCTTTCCTAACAGTAATGACGATGATG